GCCTTGGCAGTCGAAGCCAGCATTTCTGGCTTTCCCTACATCAGTCAAGAGCAATTAAAATACATTTATATGGTCTTAATGCACAGCTATTTAAAACCGGCAGGGAAAAATAACTGAGTGATGAAGAAGACAAGGATTAGGGATAGAAGAAAGAGGGAGAGACAGAGGGGAAAAGAGGAGAGGCTGGGAATTAAATATCCAATGTAAGAAAAATAATCTGTAGAAGAAAACACATGCATGTAAAGCATAAGAAGCTGTGCACACGTGTTTGAAGCTTACAACATACTGTAATCTACTTGGCAATTATGTGCACATCACTCTGTAAGCAACTCTGTAACAGCCAACACTTAATGAACGTGAATGAGCGGCTTCCCTCTGAATAAAAGGACGTCATGCTCATACTCATGGTAATTGACCATTTACAGCAGAGGAAATACATTTTCATAAGGAACATGTCACTCAGGCATCATATGACCACCACAGGATAATGTGACTCAGTCTAACAGTAGATTAAAGGCTTCACTTTAAAAGGCGATAATTCAATATTGTATTATAAGCATTGGAAAATCTGAATTGTGATTGGCTGGCAGGATTCCATTAACTACTTTTAACAACACTTATTCCATACACCCCTGACAGGTATTTGCTTTCTGTTTTAAATATCTTCAGGGTATTTTTCTTTGTGTCTTCTATAACAATCATCTAACTTGATCAGGGATAATTCCTCACTCATCAAATTTTACTGTCTCTCAGTGGATGCCTAATTGTACACAACAACAATTTATCCATCTAAAATAAAGTTGTTCTTCTTTTAGTTGTTTTACATAAAATGTTGTCTGATGTAATTTATACACTAAAACCTGATGCTGCATACATTTGTCATATCTTGAAATCAATCAATTATGGGAAGATATTGATTTCCATTATGTTGGCCAGTCCTTAAATATGTACAACATGATGGAGGAGGATACATTTAAACAAATTGGCTTATCTTTTGGTCCAACCCTGTTGCCTACAAATTATGCTCGCATATACAACTAAACTGCAATTTGAGTAAACCGTAGTTTCTGTAATCAAAACAAAACCAAAATGGTTATGTTTTGGCAACAACATTTATTTTAAAGTTTGGTAAATATCCTGATTTAAAATACTTTAAATGTTAAAATGTTTTAGTCCTCCGTGGTGAAATTATTTTGTTTGTTTGACCCCTACATCCATCCATCCTGACCTCATACCTCTGACTGTAATTAAAAACTTATCGTATATGATACATTACGAAAAAGGTAATCTGGAAGAGAATACCTTTTTCTCTAAATGTAATTAACAGCGCAGTTTCGTTGTCTATAGGATTGTCATTTTGGTTCTCAAGTGACAGGACAGCACACAGACACACACACACACACACACTCATATTACATAGGCCCATATATTTTGTTAATGATGCAGAGATGGTAGATTCAGTAGATGATGAAACAGTGGTAAAAGGAAAAGAGGGCTCTAGAGGAAATCCCAGAAAGAGGTTTTTTTAAATGAAAACCACACTTATAGCAGAGTATACTGTAAGAACCCATCGCTCTCTGTGGAAGCTGCCCTCAGGCACTGCTTTAGTATCAGCTTTCCCAGTGCTCCCACCATGAAGGCCAGACTACAAAAGCAGCTGAGACTAAAGTCTGCAGCTCTAAACTTCAAAGTTCACTCTTGTTGAACTACATTCACAACACACCCACTTGCTTCTCGTGTGTATTTGGAACAGCTGCTTCTCTCTCAAATCTATACCCTGCAGCAAAATGAATGCACTGCGATTCATTTCATGCTTCACATAGTGCAGAGGTAGACACACCACTGTGTTGGTTCACAGATCTGGATAAAAAGGATTTCCCTGAAGGCTATGCATGTTTTTTTGTCCCAATGGCACAGTCACACACAGAGGGAGATAGAGAGAGATAGTATCATTCACTTTGGGTAGTGATTTGGTAGTGAAAAACATTATAAACACGTCTTCAACTTTCATGGCATATCATATCACAGATGGCATGATTACACCATTTAATTTAAATAAAATGTTTTGTAATTTACAACCAAAATTTTAAATCACCATCCAAAACAGCAGATTGATGTGTTATGCTGCTTTGCTGCAAACTACATTTCCTCTTTTGAAGACCCAAAGGTCTGAACTGAGGCTAACCAGAGTGGTAATTAGGATTGGTACATGTACAGATATGAAAGTATGGGGATTTAATGGGATGGTATAAACGCCTTTTACTTTAACACTTAAGTCACGTTTGTGCACAAACATGTCATCTGACAAATTACAGAAATCCCAACTGTATAATAAGGTCCTTAAACACACCGCAAATTCAGAAAAATGTGACCAATAGTGATCAATATGTATTAACGGATTGCATATCGTGCGCACAGATGTTGGCACCAGAAACACGATACGCACTTTTACCACAGATAAAATATATACAGCTCACTCACAACAGCTTTTTAAAACATTTCGTATACAATTACAAGATGGAGAGTGGAGAAATGCAGGTGACGGGACTGGCAGTGAATGAACGGAGCGCAGATGCAGGTGTGACTTATTCATTCACATATTTCTCATTACACCTCCCTTGTGCACTAATGCTCAAATATCTTGGGAGGAACTAAACATACAAAAACATTAACTAGTGAGTTTGTTTTTAGCAGTTCTGGACCGGTCCTCTCCGCGGTTACGTACCGAAGCTCTTCACTTAGATGTAGAGGAATGCCTTCCTCTAAGCAGCCGGAAATAAAACAATCACATCAAAGAAGCGAGGGAGCCGGGTACTCACTGCGGTGGTGACAGCAGATAGCTCCAGGAGCCGGTGCGGGCTTATGGAGCTGATGGAGCTGATGTTCCAGGGCTCCCGGGCGGTCGGGTCCGGTGTGGGGACCCCCGGTCCAATCAGGAGCCTGGAATCCATTCCTGGTCCACGGTGGTAAATTGAAAGAGGCTGAGAGGTGGACCGGCGAAGTGTCGGGTCTCTGTGAGGTGGTCTAGCAGCCCGAGAAGCCGGTCATCATAGCTGCCCTGCGCTCACAATCACATCGCACTCTGACAGGGCTTCTGGGAGTAGCCTACAGCATGCAGCTTTGGAGAGGGGGGTGGGGAGAAGTGCTCCCCGTCTCTGGTCCAATCCCTGCTACGGGGTTGCCTTTGAGTGTGTCAGTAGGTCTGTGCGTGTGAGCATGTGGATGGACGTTTTTTTTCTATTTGTCTATTTTTCTTAGAACAAATCAATGGAGTGGTTGTTCCTCTATCAAAACCTTTTGCATGTCTTTCAGTTTTCCCTCATTTATCTTCTACTACAAGAAAAGGGTAATGACTCAGGACCTCATTTTCGTATTATCAACATTTGCAGGTCAACAGCTTGCCGAAGTCTTGCTAACATCTTTGGCATTTACATTTTAGATAAAAGAAGATAGAAGATAAGAATCTTTATTTATTTATTTTTCAGACAAGTGGACTGTTGCAGGGAGAAGCTTTGAGTGCATCTCATCTGAAAAGAGAGGTCATATGCTGCTGCAAACACTGGAACAAAATATATAATGGAACGTTTTGCTTGATTCTGCCGGATTAACCCTGTTTATCTAATGTTTTAATCCCAAAGAAAGGAATACGGCTGGACTGAGGACGTTAGAATGCAGACAAAAGGGTATTAAAGAAAAATTGAGATTCAAGGGGATATTGGGCTATTTTTCAACTTATTGTCATCATACTTTCCATTGTGAGTATTGGTCAGTAACTCTGCTATTGGATTTTATTTTATACTGCGGATGGAAGGATCACAATTACAAGAATATTAAGGAGGCTTTATTTTAGTTGGTTATACTGTATAGCATATACCATAGTATAGCAGTACAAAATTGCTACAATTCTAAGAATACGACCCTCGGAATTGTCTTTTGATTAATTGGATTAAAATCTGCCATCAAAGTTTTAGGCTACCTGGGGGCAGGGTAAAACAACTGTTAACAAAACACTGATGTTGTCAACTTGATATGGCGAGCAATTGTAGCCAACCATCTAATTAAAATAAAACTACAATTCAAATATTTGCGCTCTTTGTTTTTATTCTGTACCCTGTTCTGAGAGAAATCAATCTGGCTAATTCGCTGCTAAATGTTACATTGTTTTCACTTGCAGCTATTTCTGTCCGTCTGCCGTTTAGTGCCGAGCAAAACCGATGCAAAAAGAGCAATAAGCATAAAGGGAAAACAGCACATTTTGGGGCTGGAAAGCTGAAAGGTGTTATCTTCATAAAGCGGGTCACCGTTAATGAACCCAAGTGGAGGTGTGATCCATTGTTCATATTTAAAAAAACGATGAATTGACAGCTAAAACAATCGAGGAGCATTAAGAAATGTAACTACTTCAAAATGTACCTCACTTTCTCCTTAAAAACTATGAGATGTATGAATGAATGCAAAACTTCATGCTAACGTTTATAAAGTGCCGTCACAGGACAGAGAGCTTTTGCTTGTGACTCTCACTACTGTGTGAACAATGAAGCATGACTTCCACCTACTGTAAGAAGACATTTAGCCGAGAGCGCTCTACATTGGGAACAGAGGCAACGGCAGATAAGCCCAATGATAGATTGGAAATATGTTGACATGTTGAGGAGTATAACCATCTTTCAGTTTGTGTTCTTCTGGGAGGAGCAAGGTTTTATGAGGCCTCGCTTTTATGATCATAACAAAAATCCTTGTTTCCCTAACCTCATTTCATTCTCCTCACTCTGTTTGTATTTGGGCTTGCATTTGGTGTTTGCAAACTAAGACCAATACTAACCTTTGCCCCCATAACCAATTTCACTGTTTTGATAACGCCCTATTCTGTCATCTTCTGTTTTCAACAAAAATATGTTGCTAAAGCTCTCTAATTCAGTTTAATGCTCTATACAGCATAACACCTTTAAACTGGACCAAGTTAACCCACCTCTGGAATGCTAAATGTTGAGATGAGGAAACTCTGGGATGGGAGACAGCAGACTAAATCTAACCCGGTAGGACTTTAGTTTTTGGCCTGCAGAAAGATTTGATTGGTTGTGGGAAAGGTGAGTGACATGAAAGAGTATCCATCGCCGTTTCCAGGCTTGACCCCTGTGCGCTGAAGGTCACCATGCTCTCTGCACATCTGCCTCTCTCAAAGCACCGCACTAAATCATTTACTTACGCAGCTACCAAATATCCACACAAATAGTCTATGTGCATTTCCCCTGTCAAACAAACACATCCTTCCTGCACTGGTGTTGTGTATTTCGATGTTATGTGTACAGTATTTTCTGTGTGTGTTTGTGTTGCAACACTAACCTCTCGGAGCTGTATGACCAACAGAATAACATGGTCCCATGACAGAGACTTCTGGCTGATGTTAAGAGGATCAGAATCTGGGTATGGACTTACACAAAAGTAACATTGTATAGACAGGGAAGTGCTACAAAGGCCAAAACAATACCGCTCTGTGTGGCATGACCCCCCTCATCCTTCCATTTTTCAATGATCATTACCTTAAAATCCAATGATCCAATTTCAGGTCTGGCAACTTGATGTGCCCAGGATTTTTGCACATTTGCTTTTGTCAGTATAACAAACCAATTAGCAATATTCATAGAAATCATATTGTAAGAAACCTTACATAAATATAAACTTCACAAAAATGTAAACCAATATAGGGACAACAATATATTATAGCCTTTCGCATTGGTTGAGCGGAGTGCTGAATAACTTCACTTGATAATACAAGTAATGGAGTTATTGATTGTAACCCTGGTTCTATGGGCACAGGCAGGGTCCTCTATGGGTGCACTCACTCCTGTTGAGGGCCTTTTGGATGAACTGGTAAAACCAAAACACTTTATCATGTTAGGAAAAAGCATAGGTGTTTATCATTAAAAATGGCTCAATTTGTGTTATTCTTGTTTGTGTTTTTAATCACTGCCCTTATCCAAGGAAATGCCTACAATAACATACCAAAATGTTCAAAATGCATATTTCTAATTTGAAATATAAGAGGCTAATGAATAGATAAAAATTATAAATAAAAAAATCTTAATACATTACAATAAAAAAGTAAATGATGCAATTAAGGGATACATAGATTGTTTTCTGTAAACTTCCACTGCTATGCGGATGATACTCAACTATATTTATCCATCAAGCCTGATGAAACCAATCACCTAAATAAAATTCAAGACTGCCTCAAGGACTTAAAAACGTGGATGACCTTAAACTTTTTGATGTTAAACAAGGCTAAAACTGAAGTTATTGCACTCGGCCCAAAGAATCTACGAAACAAACTATCTAAAGATATACTAGTTATGGATGGCATTAATTTGGCCTCCAGTGAGACTGTAAGGAATCTTGGTGTTATATCAGGATTGAACCTTTAACGCCCACATAAAATCAATCTCAAGGACCACCTACTTCCATCTACGCAACATTGCCAAAATTAGGCATATCTTGCCTCAAAACGACGCAGAGAAATTAGTCCATGCATTTGTTACTTCAAGGCTGGATTATTGTAACTCCTTATTATCAGGGTGTACCAAGAAGTCAGTCAAATCACTTCAGCTGATTCAAAATGCTGCAGCACGTGTACTAACTAGAGCAGGGGTGGGGAACCTTTTTCCTCTCAAGGGCCATTTCAATTTTTTTTAAATCCTCCGAGGGCCGTACAAATTATTGACCTCTGCTTAAAAATACTAAAATCACAGCCCATTCATTTCGCCTTTCTTTCATGCCGTGCAAAGAAAAAGCAAACTCTTAATCCAGATATTTTACCATGACTCGTGCATGCATTCACGTGCATGGTTGTGGCATGACCACCAAAACAGAAAGTATATTGNGGCATTGCGTTCCAAGAATGCAGGGTTGTTGGTTGTTCCTAGAGTCTCTAAAAGTACAATGGGAGCCAGAGCCTTTTCTTATCAAGCTCCACATTTGTGGAATCAGCTTCCAGTTTGTGTTCGGGCGGCAGACAGAGTATCCGTTTTCAAGAGTACGCTTAAGACCTTCCTTTTTGATAAAGCTTATAGTG